CTAACTTCCCTGGAGCAAATTGTCTACCACAGTCTGTAATATATAACAGTGTTCACATGTTATATACCATATTTGTGATCAGCAGCATGAGGATATTTAGTAGTGGTTCAACCAGATGAGCGGGAGTTCTTTGTTTCTTAAGTCCTGTTAGTTTTGTCGTATCACTAACCTTTTGGATTTAGCATCCACTTATGAGGGAGACCATGTACCGTTTGTCTCTTCGTTCTTGGCTTACCTCGCTCAACATGATTCCTTCTAGCTCCATCCATTTCCCTGCAGAATCATGGGTCTTTTAAAATCTCTTAGTAGCAATAATTATGATGATACAGTAAATAGTGACTATAGGTGGCTGGAAGACATTGCTCAAGTGAGAAAGGAGAAAAGTTGTTTTGCAGCCACTCTGCTAGGTTTGTGCTGAGCCACCTCTGTCATTTTGTGACAGGTCCTTGTTAGCAAATGACAAAACAAAAGACAAAGTGTTTTAACTCTGTTGTTTGACCTTTGGGAATATTTGTTCTTCGGCAAGTTTCCTTCATATCAGGCCATAGGAGTTATGCAACTGTCAAAGAGTGTCCCTTCCATCTGCCGTACTGAGCTGAAATATGGGGGTGGTCGTTTCTCAAAAGCTCTTCCTAGCCAGACACTGGTAGCTTATGCCTGTAATCCTAGCTACTCAGGAGGCTGAGATCTGAGGATCACGGCTCAAAGCCAGCTCTGGCAGGAAAGTCCATGAGACTCTTATCTCCAATTAACCACCAGAAAACCTGAAATGGTTCTGTGGTAGAGCGCTAGCCTTGAACTGAAGAGCTGAGGGATAGCGCCCAGGCCCAGAGTTCAAAGCCCATGACTGACAAAACAAAAAACAAACAACAACAACAAAAAAAAACCCTCTTCCTTCCTTCCTCTCAACTGATTTTTAGGGAATTTAGGAAAATTCTGTTTCTGAGAAATTTGTGCCTTCATCAACTGGACTCTTCAGAAACTCCAAGAGCCCTTACCAAAGAAATAATGTCTAATCAAGTCACTGTTCCTCCTCTTCAAATGCATTTTGCATTTTCAACTTGGAGGTTAAATAAATAATACCTATTTCCTTTTTTTTTTTTTTTCAATTTTTTTTTTTGGGGGTCCGGTCGTGGGGCCTGAACTCTGGGCCTGAGCTCTGTCCCTCAGCTCTTCAGCTCAAGGCTAGCACTCTACCGCTCGAGCCACAGCCCCACTTCCGGCTTTTCTTTTCTGCTTATGTGGTGCTGAGGAATCGAACCCAGGGCCTCAGGTATGCAAGGCAAGCGCTCTACCACTGAGCCACCTTCCCAGCCCCAATACCTATTTCCTAATTTATTAACTTCCTCAAAATGGAAATCTAGACTCTGATGAGTGGACTCTGAATTAGGACTCAAAATGTTTTACTATTTTAGCTGAGTGCTGATGGTTCATGCCTGAAATCCTAGCTACGCAAGAAGCTGAGATCCAAAGGATTACTGTTTGAATGAAGCCAACCCCAGGAAGAAAATTTTGCCTCCATCTGCAAAATAACCAATAAAAAAGCTAGGCGGGGGCATGGCTTATTTGGTATTGTGTCAGCCATGTGCAAAAGATTGAGAGCATGAAGCCTTGAGTTCAAGTCTCACTAGAGGGAAAGAAGGGAAGAGAGGGAAGGGGGCAGGCAGGCAGGCAGGACGTGATCACATCAAATTCACTTCTGGCTGAGAAGGTAACAAGTTTGATATGCAATGTCTGTGTGTATGTGTGTTCACACATTGCTGAATTTGTCAATCCCATACTGGCTGAAGGGTCCCAGCTCAGTAGTGCTCTTTTTTTTTGGCTGGTTGTGGGGCTTAAACTCAGGGCCTGGGCACTGTCCCTGAGCCTCTTTGTGCTCAAGGCTAGTGCTTTACCACTTGAGTCACAAGACTTCTGGCTTTTTCTGACTTGTTTATTGGAGATGAAAGTCTCACAGATTTTCTTTCCTGCCCAGGCTAACTTCCAACTGCTATCCTCAGATCTCAGCCTCCTGAGTAGCTAGAATTCCAGGTGTGAGCCACCAGTGTTTGCTTTAGCAGAGCTCTTAATAGGAAATGTCAACACAGAGACCTGAGCTCAAGGCCCAAGAATCTCACAGCAGTTCAAGGCAGGTGCAGGGTCAACAGCTGGCCTCTGTTCTAGAACCACTTCCATTTATGTATGTATGTATGTATGTATGTCGGTCATGGAGCCTGAACTCTGGGTGCTGTCCCTCAGCTCTTCAGTTCAAGGCTAGCACTGTACCACTTGAGCGGCAGCGCCACTTCTGGCTTTTTCTGCTTATGTGGTGCTGAGGAATCCAACCCAGGGCCTTACACATGCAAGGCAAGTGCTCTACCACTGAGCTACCTTCCCAGCCCCCACTTCCATTTAAATCCAGTCTTTGGATGAGAACTACTAATAATCTGGGTAAACCATCAACATCCACTGGTGCAACACGAAAGCAAAAAAAGGGAAACGTGGCTGGGGACAAATTGATCACCTTTCTGGGTGGACGGAAGAGGGAGAGCAGAACAGAGACTGGAGGAGAAAATTCAAAAGTTTGTTACAATCTGGGACTGGAAACCCAGCTCTCATAAGTCATATTGACAGAAGAGGAAAGATGCCTGTCTGAACCGCAAAATAAAGTAACAAACAAACTTGGATCAATGGCTTTAAGAGATTTCAAAGGTTTGACTAAGAATCTGACCAAGGCCTTATTTTTACAAGAAATGCTGGCTCTGCTGAAGGCATTCATTCTCTCTGCCTCTCTCCCCAGAGTTTCAAGATGCCTTGAGCCCAACACTCTCTGTCTATACCACGGCTCCTAGGCCCTCATAGAAACTTAGCTTTCCATGTAATATTAGTAACTGAAATCCTTTCCTTACTTAGCTCAGAGTACCTCTCAGTTCACTCAGGAGATGACCCATTCTCTATCCTTAAAAATCCAAACCCATCTGAATACAGCCCAAATAGATCACATTTGTAACTACAAAAATAGATCCAGGAAATCTGTTGAAATTGTTTTGGGGAAGGGAGACAGTGAGGAGATTGAAGGGTGAGATCAATCAGAATATAGTGAATTAACTGGAACACAATGAATGTATCCCACCTTGTATACCTATGTAAACCAATAAAAAAAAAATGTTCTAACGCCCTCCCACCAGATAAAGTTAAGTATGCATACTGTACTCTATGAAAACCAGAAAACCAGGCAATAGGGAACGTGTAATGTTGGCCCTTTGCTGATTACCAGAGAAATGCTGTGTTTCTCTGAATCTAAGTTTCCATAAGATGCGTTCAAATTTCAGGCATGTTAAGTGGAGGGCTGCATTCTATGGTTGATGACCATATGCAGTGAATTCTACAGGAAAAACTCACACTAGATATTGCCATGAAAGTCAGTGTTAAAAGGGTTTAACACCCTAGCTACTTAGGAGTCAGACCGTTCAGAGCCAGCCCGGGCAGGAAAGACTATGAGACTCATCTCCAATAAACCACTCAGGAAACCAGAAGTGGTGCTGTGGCTCAAGTGGTGAGTGCTAGCCTTGAGCTAAAAAGCTGAGGAACAGCACCCAGGCCCAGAGTTTAAGCCGCAAGGCCAGGGGGGAAAAAGAAAGAATTTAAACCAAATCATTTCAGCAGAATTATTTTTTTCTCTCTCTCTGCGTGTGCGTGCGTGTGTGTGTGTGTGTGTGTGTGTGTGTGCACACACACACACACACGTGCGTGCGCACACGCACTTACTGAGGCTTGAACTCAGGACCTGGGTGTCAATCCTGAGCTTTTTTGCTCAAGGCTAGCAGTCTACTACTTGAGCCACAACTTCACTTCCGGCTTTTTTGGTGGTTAACTGGAGATAAGAGTCTCACATACTTTCTTGTTTAGGCAGGCTTTTGTTTTGTTTTGTTTTTTTGGGTCTGGGACTGGGCGCTGTCCCTCAGCTCTTCAGCTCAAGGCTAGCACTCTACCACTTGAGCCACAGCGCCTCTTCCGGCTTTTTCTGTTTATGTGGTGCTGAGGAATTGAACCCAGGGCCTCATGCATGCAAGGCAAGCGCTCTACCACCGAGCCACTTTCCCAGCCCCATGTTTAGGCAGGCTTTGAACCATGGTCCTCAGAACTCAGCCTCCTGAGGAGCTAGGATTACAAATGTGAGCCACCAGAGCTCAATTAATTTTTTTAATCCTACTTATTTGTTTTTATTTTACTTGTAGGCATGGATACGCTGATGTAGCTTAGCCCTGGCTCCAAACTCTGCATCCTCTGCTTTAGTTGCTAGGATTATGGGTGTGCTCTACTACACCACCCAGAAATTTAGAGCTCTTTAGTAGTAGTAGTAGTAGTTAGTAGTAGTAGTAGTAGTAGTAGTAGTAGTAGTAGTAGTAATGGGATTTAGACTCTGAGCCTGAGTGCTGTCCTTGTGCTCTTCAGTTCAAGGCTAGCCCTCTACCACTTGAGCCACAGCGCCACTTCCAGTTTTCTGGTGGTTAATTGAAGATAACAGTCTCATGGACTTTCCTGCCAGAGCTGGCTTTGAGCCATGATCCTCAGATCTCAACCTCCTGAGTAGCTAGGATTACAGGCGTGAGCCACGGAGCACCGGTGCTCTTTAATTCTTAATTGTTAGAGTTTGCATTCAGCAAACACAAAAATAACAGATGTTTTATATTTTTTTTAAATTTTTTAAGGGAAGAGAGATTAGCTTTTGGTTGTCTCCAGGCCGTCTTCACCATCCCTATATTCTTTTTTTTTGTCGGTCGTGGGCCTGAACTCTGGGCCTGGGCGCTGTCCCTTAGCTCTTCAGCTCAAGGCAAGCGCTCTACCACTTGAGCCATAGCGCCACTTCCGGCTTTTTCTGTTTATGTGGTGCTGAGGAATGGAACCCAGGGCCTCCTGCATGCAAGGCAAGCACTCTACCACTGAGCCACCTTCCCAGCCCACCATCCCTATATTCTTGTTCATTTTTGCCGCAGTGAAGCTAAAGCCCCCTGACTTACCAGACCTCCTCAAGGAGCCAAGGACCCGCGGACTGCTGCTGGGGGACCTGGTGCAAGCTGTCTTAATTCTTTCGGTACCCGAGCTGTGAAATGGAAACGATAACATAGTGACCCCAAGTCAGTCATTAAAAGCCACCGACTGGACGGGGGAGAGGGGAGAAACGTGGTGTTTCGCTATTACTGCGTAAGTCTGGGCTGGCATAGAATCACAAGGAAAGCTAGAAGACGGGCACTGGAGGAACTTCCCGCCGGCCCAAACACGATTGAAGGAAGGAGGTCACATCTTCCCTCCCCTGCCCCCCAGTTTTGCAAGGCTCCTCAGATTCATATGAGCTAAATGGCGTTCAAGAAAATCTTCCTCTGCCAGGGAAGGAGGAACACACAGGAAGTGCCCACAGCTCCCCTAATGGCAAACTGCTCTGCTGGCCTGCTCGCTGGATGATCCTGGGCACACAACCTCTCTGAGCCTCTTGTTTCCCCTATCAGATGAGCCCAACATGATCCAGCTACGAAGAGACATCATAAGGACTGTACTCTGGGAGCCTGGCACCAATAAATGCTCAGCGAAGGGCAAGTCACGATTACTAGATTCATTTGAAATTCTTTCAATAGGGGCATGTTACACTGTAGTGTTTAAGAGTAAATCATCAAACACTGGTGTGTGTGTGTGTGTGTGTGTGTGTGTGTGTGCGCGCACATGCGTGTGTCAGTATAGGGGTTTGAATTCAAGGTTTCTGGACCTCACTTGCCTTTTTCAGTCAAAGAAAACACTCTACCACTTGAGCCATTTCCCCTCTTTTGGCTTTCTGCTGGTTAACTAGAGATAAGTCTCTTGGATTTGTCTGCCTGGGCTGGCTTTGAACCTGGATCCTCAGTTCTCCACCTCCTGAGTAGCTAGGATTATAGGCATGAGCCACCTGCACCAGGCTAAACATGGTTTTATGTATTCTCAGTTGCGATTGTACCCGTCACAGCTGGCCTTTCTGCCCAGATACAAATAAGATGTCTTTAACTGCTCAACTCCAGAGCTTTTAACTAGCTAGCTTCTCAACAGCTGGTTTTACTGTAGTATAACTTTACCAAGAATGAATCAAACTAGGCTGAGAGTCCCTTCATATCCCCACCATGCAAGTTCATGACCTACCTTATTAGGTAAGAGACTACTGAGTTAGGATCCTACTAAGTAATCATTTGTTCCAAAGTTCTCCCCAACGCAATGGCCAAGTTAACTAAGCTTGAGCTTTTGATTAACATACAGTGCTCAAAGGAACTTTGACCCCCAGAAACCTGGCTTTGCCTGGCTTCTCTGAGTCCGCCCTGTATCGTGAATGCCCATTTGAAGAGCAATAAAAGACCCAACTGTTTGCCTATGGCAAATGGAGGTGGGACCAAGAGCATTACACAGCTTTTATCTCTGTTCTCCTCAGAACCTTGGCAAAGGAGTCTGTAGCCCACAGGTCAATTTGGGGAGTGAACAGAATACACTGAAATGCACCCCAGTTCTACCTGGCATTTTGAAACATTAGTTCCTGAAGAACTAAGGCACTGGTGGCTCAGGCCTGCAATCCCTGCTGCTCAGGAGGCTAAGATCTAAGGTCTACAGTTTGAGGCCTGCTTGGGCAAGAAAGTCTGTGGGAGCACCTCCCGTGAAGCAACAGAAAGTCAGAAGGGGAGAGCCGGCTCAAGTAGCAGAGCGCCAGCCTTGAGTGAAAATGCTAAGGGACAATGCACAGGCCCTGAGTTCAAGTTCCAGTACTGGCCCCAAACAAAACAACAACAGAAGAAAAATGTTATGCTCTGAAGATCAGTGAACAGAATGGAGGTGGAGGTGTTATAACCAGCCAGATGTGACCATGGGGAATACACTGCTCGCCCACGGTTCTTGGCTCCCTGGGATTGTGGCATTACATATAAAACTGGAGTCAGACACAAGCAGGCAACCACAGAAGCTAAGAGGACAAGGGCCTGCCTACTCTGGGACCAACATTGCCTGCTTCTGTCCCCCACAAATGCACAAGCGACAACCCTCCCCATCTCAGAGGTGACCCTGTTTACAGACTGAGTCTTCAAAGAGGTGGTTAAGGTTAACTGAGGTCACTGGGGCAGCCCTAATGCAATATGGCTGCCGTCCTTATAAGAAGAGTGTATTAGGACACTGACCATGGGTGTCCACGCGTAGACAGGGTAACAAGATAGCCATCTACAGGCCAAAAAGAGACGCCAGAAAGAATCAGCCCTGCTCACAGTCCCCCACCCCCATCCCTGGTACCAAAGTTTAAACTCAGGGCTTCATACTTGCCCTGCTTGCTTGCTTGGCTGGTGCTTCACCACTCGAGTAGTGCCTTCAGCTTAGCTTTTTGTTACCTAATTGGAAATAAAATCTTAGACTTTTTCTGCCTGGGCTAGCTTAGAACCAAGATCTTCGGATCTCAGCCTGAGTAGTTAGGAATACAGGAACCTGAAAACCGGCTGTCACCTTAATATGGGATTTGAAGCTTGCACAAGTTTCAGAAAAATACATATCTAGTGTCAAAGCCCCCAGTCTCTAGTATGTTGTTATGACAGCCAAAGCAAACCTACTTCCTAGATTCCCCAGCCTTATGCCTCAGGACAAACTTGCAAAGCAGGCTAAAAGCACAATTAAAGGAGTAGTGTGGTGATAGGAGCTAGGAGGACAAACCTAGAAGCCATAATACAAAATGTGGCTGTGGCTTCAGTGTGCAACCTGTAGGCTAAAGCATCATATTTGGGACACTTAAGCACATCACCATTACTCAAGTATGCTAGCATACATGTACTAGGAAGGTGGAGGTGGAAGATCATGAGTTCAAGGTAAGTCTGGACTATGGAGTGAGACCTGGCCTCAAAGAAACTCATAACATCAAACGGAGTCTTGAAAATAAAAATCCACTTTTCATGTTTTTCACAAATATTAATTGAACACCTACTGCAGGCCAGGCTCTATGCTAGGTGCCAGAATAAGACTTGTGAATACAATGGATGCATTTGCTGCTCTCAAGGGACTTTTGGTTGGACTGTGAGCTCAGGGACTGAGGTAGGCTGGAAAAACCATGTTGAAATGACAAAGTCACTGCTCTCTAGAAGGCCCAGATTAGTGGGACAGAGTTAGAACAAGACCATACAAAACACGGTGACCGTGTACATTGCACACAAGGAGCAATGACACCTGGGAAATGGACCTCCAAGTCTGTCTGGACTGATCAAGGCAGATGTGAGCCAAGTCTTACAGGACAGTGACTCTGCCCTGGAGCCAGGGATGAGGGAGAAGAAGAGGACATTTTCCAGACAGAAGGAAGGGGCAGTTCCTGGATGCAAGGACATCGGATGCAAGAGAACGGTGCTGAGCTGGACAGAGGCAGACTGAGCAAGGAGCCGGCCAGGAAGTGGAGCTCACACCAGATTGCACAGGAAGCACTGGAAAATTTAACCAGGAAAGGGGCATTCCAAAAATCCCAGGCTAAAAGGAGCACTTTGACCCCACTGCAGAGCAGGCTCAGGGCATGACAACCTGTCAGGAGAAGACAGAGGGGTTCTAGGGTCACAGACACAGAGATGCCTGCCAGGGATGCAGAACTGAAATGCTCCTGGTGTTCAGCCATGGCCTTGGGTGACGATGCCCAAGGGCACTGAGCGCAGAAGACAAACAAGCACAGGGCTTTTCAATCTGGGAGCTCCTTTGATCAATCAGAGAATGCATTTCTTCTCTCCCCCTCCCCCCTTCCACTCCCTCCACCCCACATCTCTCTCTCTCTTTGCCAGTCTTGGGCTTTGAACTCAAGGCCTGGGCTCTGTCCCTGAGCTTCTCTGTGCTCAAGGCTAGCGCTCTACCACTTGATTGACAGTGCCACTTCCAGCTTTTTCTGCTTATGTGGTACTGAGGAATGGAACCCAGGCTTCCTAGACAAGCACGCTACCACTAAGCCACATTCCCAGCCCTCCTTTTCTCTTTTTAATTTTTTTTTTTTTTTGGTGCCAGTCTTGGGGCTTAAACTCAAGATTCGGCGCTATCCCTCAGCATTTTTGCTCAAGGCTAGTGCTCTACCACTTGTACCACAGCTCTACTTCCTGTTTTTTGCTGGTTAATTGGGGGTAAGAGTCTCATGGACTTTCCTGCCTAGGGAGATTTTGAACTGTGATCCTCAGATCTCAGTCACTTGAGTAGCTAGGATTACATGGGTGAGCCACACAAAATTCTGTTTGTGTGTGTGTGTGTGTGAGTGCACGTGGGCCAATTCTGGGACTTGACCTCAGGGCCTGGGAGCTGTTCTTGAGCTTCCCTCCCCCCCCCCCAAAGCTAGTGATCTACCACTTGAGCTATAACTCCATTTCTAACTTGTTTTGGTAGTTAATTGGAGATAAAAGTCTCAAGGATTTTCTTTCCCAAACTGGCTTTGAATCATAATCCTTAATCTCAGCCTCCTGAGTAGTTAGGATTACAAATATGAGCCCAAATGCATTTTTTTTTTTATTTTTTTGGGGGGAGGTCCGGTTGTGGGGCCTGAACTCTGGGCCTGGGCACTGTCCCTCAGCTCTTCAGCTCAAGGCTAGCACTCTACCACATGAGCCACAGCACCATTTCCGGCTTTTTTCTTTTTGCTTATGTGGTGCTGAGGAATTGAGCCCAGGGCCTCGAGCATGCAAGGCAAGCACTCTACCACTGAGCCACCTTCCCAGCCCCAAATGCATTTTTTAATGAAACACTATTCCACCATTCACATCAGGAAATTTACCTCAGCCCTTCTTTTTAACCTAACAGTACCATATGTAACTGTTTAGTTTCCTTATATTTCCTCATTCTAAATATAGAGCCAAGAGTAGTGGCATACGACTATAATTCCAACACTTGGGAGACTAAAGCAGCAGGAGCACTGTGAATTCAAGGCCAGCCTGTACTACAGGCCAGCTAGAGTCTCTGTCTATTTGTCTGTCTCTCTCTCTCTCTCTTCTCTCTCTCTTTCTCACTCTCTCTCTCTACATATATGTATATATATGTACATATATATATATACACACACACACACACACACACACACACATATATACACATATCTGGATAATACTA